GGCCCTTTTATGACTTGTGGACGTCTAACTCCCAGAATTCCTCAGCCAGTGTGCCTGGCTGAGGAATTCTGGGAGTTGAAGTCCACAAGTCATAAAAGGGCCAAGTTTGAAGACCCCAGTACTAAATCTCTAAATTGTTACTTTTCAAGGACCCTTCCAAATGAGGGGACATTATTTGGACTCCATTCCCCATTTAGAGAAAGAGTTATAGATGATTCCTGTCCTGCTTTTATCTTCTATGGAACTCAGTAGCTTTCTGATAGATATGCAGTATTTAGACCAGGGGTAGGCAACCTTGGCTCTTTTATGACTCGTGGACTTCAATTCCCAGAATTCCTGAGTCAGCATGGTTGCCTACCCCTGATTTAGACGGTCTTCAACTGTTCAGCCCTTGTGTTTAGAAGTTCTGAAAGATTTGGGATGACTGAATTATACTCTGTGGGCGTGTTCCATTCTTTTTTATTAGAAGTAGAATTGCTCTTCAAATCTTGGGATGACATCCAAAAGAGCTCAAAAAAAAAAAAAATGAATGGCCTGTTGATTAGACTAGGAATAAAGGATTTCCTAATTGCCCAGCCAACTATGCCTCTGGAAAGATGCTACAGATCAGTGGTGGGATTCAAATACCTGAACAACCGGTTCTAGTATGTGATGCAGGCCTGGGCCTCCAATGCCTAGAACGGACTTCCGGAAGTGGTATCCATGCACTTCAGTGGGCAGTTCTAGGCCTAGGAGGCCTCTGAGGCCTAGACTGGACTTCCAGAAGCCAGCCTGAATTCAGGCTACCGGTTCTTCTGAACCGGTGCGAATCGGCTGAATCCCACCACTGCTACAGATTCCATTGAATATATGGGTTATTCAAATCTTACTACAAGCCGGAACTGTCAAGAATTCTGGCTTACTGTGAATGGGGAGAGGCTAATGCACACTGCCCATTCACTCCAGTTCTTCTTACTAGCAGGATCAGAACTGCCAGAAAAATAAAACCAGGTCATGTGAAAGAAGCTTGTGTGCCCCAAATAGTCTTTAACTTCTTCCTGAAGACTGTTCCCAAAATATTGCCACCATTTGTAGTGGGCAGAAGGAATGGCTTGAGGGACAGGATGAAAATCCACTGGCAAGGCAGTCACCAGGTAAAAGGAACTTGAGTCGGGGACAGAACTGTAATCTGAGAAAATAACTCAAAGCCTCTTCCTTGTTCTCATGAAGGTAAAAGGAAGGAGGGGAAAAACACATTCAGGTGTGCAAAATTCTATTTCTCTAGCCTTGTAATAAAAGTAATATTGGCCTGCTTGACTTTGGTTTACCACTCTGGGTCCACTTTGAAGAGCTGACACTTTTCAGTGTACCATGAAGCCTTAGCATGCTATCCTAGAAGTATGTATATCAATGTCACACTTTAAATGTCCTAATTAACCCTTTTAACTCCTTTATCAGTCTCCTCCTCCCATTGCATCTGATGAAGTGAGCTGCAGCTCACAAAAGCTTCTCCCTTTTAATAAAATTTTTGATTAAGAAAAGATGCTATTAAGCTCCTCCTGATTTGGAGCTAACAGACTAATATGTCTCTCCTACTCCAATAACTAGCTGAAAGTGAACGATTTCATGCAAATACAGATCAGCTTGTCTGTTCCAAAGGAGTTCACTAAATCTTCCTACTGTTGACCATAAAGTTCAAGTGTCCAAAAACACCAGCAGGTTCATGGTCTATATTTTGCACAATTGTTTAACCCATTGCCAGGTCTGTTTCAGTTTAAAGAAAAGGTACAGTAGAGTCCAATATTTAAGCCTCTTTCAAACATTCCCTCCTAGCTATAAATGCAACCTAGGACTGAATTCTATAGAATAAAGGTGAAAGAATACAGAAGCAACCTCCTTCCCAGCAGTTGGAACTACCAATAGATATAAGATCCAAACGTGGTGGCATTTAACCCTCTGACAAAGAAAGTTTCCTGGAGGAAGGCCACAGCTCCTAAATCAAGGTTAGACAAGCTACTCCTCTTCAGAAGCTCTGAAGTAGGGTTCTCTCGGTGGAAATGAAACTCCAAACAGAACAATGGAAACTGGTCCCACATTATTGATGGCAATCCATTCCAACCTGACTTTCAAGGCAGCTTCCCCAATATTGTGTCCTCCTGATGTGGTCAAGATTGCAATATGTACGATTCTCAGCCAATTTCACTGGAAAGCCTCAGGTAGAGAAAAGCTGTTCTAGGGCAGAGATTATCACCTTTTATGACATGTGGACTTCAACTCCCAGAATTCTTGAGCCAGCATGGCTGCCTCAGAGATTCTGAGAGTTGAAGTCCACAAGTCATAAAGGGGTTGTAGTTCCCCACCTCTGTTCTATGGGCTTGGAGGCAAAATTTGGTTGGAAAATATGAGATAAGACAAGCCCTTTGGAGCAGCAGATGTACCCCTCCTCCTTCTCTTGCTCTGTCAGTGGTAATAAATTACCACCTTTTCTGGGTCTCTATTCATTTAATTATAAATCACATCATTAATTGTAGCCAAACATTTGAGAATCACATCATAAAGGCAAGTTGATTTGACTATATACAGGATTCTTCACCCCTGAATCTCTTATTGTACATTTGCTACGAATGAGTTTATATCCAAGGCAGAACATCAGTGTGGACCCTTTCTTCCATCCCTAAACTGGTTGTGCTTGCTTGCTTTCTCAAGTCATGCTGCTTTGCCTCTTTATTATGGAGGTGCACTTGATCCTCAGCCTTCCAGCCTGGCTTTGAAATGTACATTAGACCAATTATGTAGAAAAATAAAGAAAGCGGGACAAAACAGCCTATGTTGGTAGGTGCATGGCAATCTTCTCTTTCTGTCCTACTATGGCATTAACCGGCCAATGGCTTGATGCACAAGGACTGCGGAGACAGGAGTTCTTGAAGAGCAGCTGCAACCAGACGGTGCTCGGGACAGGAGAGTTTGGCCCTTGCTGGCAAAATCCTCTTTTCTTCATGGGCCAGAATTGCCTCAGTGACGCTCAATGACGCATTCCCTTCTCTGTTCTCAGGCAGATCTCAGATAAACCACCCCTATCAGCTGGAAGCATCACTTTTTAAATAATAGTTTCAGGCTGCTGGTCTTAGCCTTCAGCCCACAGTAAGAAAATAACTGGTTGATTTCCAAACGAGGAACATTAAAAGCCCAATGGAGATGGAAAGATACACTGGTACTCTCTCTTGAGTTCATTTGGACTGTAGCCTGGAGACATGCAGAAGTGGGAGATGGCATGTAAAATAAGAGATTGCCCTCTGGTTAGCAATAAAAGTCCTCTTAACTCGTCCCCTGCTGCCTGCGCCCCAATCCTTCTGCTCTAAAGACTCCTGGTCACAATTATTCTTTCTTTTTATTTTTATTTTTATTTTTTGCTAAAGGCTCTTTGAAGACAAGACCTTCAGCTCTTCGAGCCAACTGACACCTCACAACCATCATTTAACATTTTTTTTTTTTCGCTTCTGAAATCTGGGAGGGGATGGCTAATTGCTGACCTCAGTTCTGGTATCTCTCCCCACTGACCTCAGTTCTGGTATCTCTCCCCCCCCCTGTCCCCCAACATCTAGTTTCCTGAGTTTCCAGGGCGTGCCACCTAGATCCCAGGGAATAATTTTTCTAAAGCAGGGAGCATTGGCATGCTTCCTTAGTTGGCATGAAAAGCTCCGATGGGGACTACAAACACAAGCTCATTCCAGTCTCGAAATCGGCCTGCAGGTTGTGCGGGGAGGTGGGGTGGGAGTAGTGGAAGCAACTTAATGTGTCTGCACCAGGACCTGATGCACTCAAGCAATGCAACCAAAGGCATACATTAACCTGGGACAGAATGTACTGCTTGAATAACTGAGCAACCTGGGAACACAATAAGCTATAAACAGGTGAGAAAGCTAAGCAAGTTTCTGACTGAACCCAGCTTGGATGACAGACTGCTGGTGAGCCCTGCCTTGTGCAGAGATCCTTGGAGGCTAAGGAGGGCATTCTAAAAAAAAAAAAAAAGCGCAAATCAGTGAGCAAATCATGAAATAGGCATAGCGTCATCCCATACAGTGCCTCCACCTGCAGATCCAGGCTGGTAAAGGAGACCTGGATTCAGCTATTTCTCAGCTTCGTAGTTCTCTTGATGTTATCCTAGCCCAGTGGTGGGATTCAGCCAGTTCACACGAGTTTGGCAGAACCGGTAGCTAATTTTTTGTTGCCCAGGCCCAGAATGGACTTCTGGAAGTAGCATCCACACAGAGAACCGGTTGTTCACATACTGGAATCCCACCACTGTCCCAGCCCACTAAGGAACACCAAGCACTGCTGTTATAAAATCATTCAAAATAATCCATACCTAGTGTTCTCCAGATTTATGGGACATCAATGCCCATCTGTTGCGTTGGGGAGGATAAGAGTCTAGATCAGGGGTGGCTCAGGTTAAAGTCCACAAGTCATAAAAGAGCCAAGGTTGCCTACCCCTGCTCTAGATAAACACAACTCAGAGGCTTCAAATTGGGAAAGACCACTTTAAAAGCTCCTAGAAACATCCACCCAAACCAAGTATCAGCACTGTCATTTAACCAGCAAATATTTGGGGGAGGAGGTGGGGGGGTGACCCCTGGCAGGCTGCAAAGAGAATCCATTTTTTTCCCCAGACCACATCCTTTCAATTTCAGCAGTGTTCTTACAACCAGCAATGAGCCATCTGAATAGTAGTGACAAAACGTGTCAATAAAGCATGGTTTGGTTCTTTTTTTAAAAAAAGCAAAAATTCTAAGCCATCGTTCATTTTTTTACAGTGTTTTCGATAAGTGATGATGCCGTTGCACTGGGGAACTTTTAACATATAGTCCTAAATACTAAAATAAAAAAAAAGGTGTTTGATGCTCCCAAAGTCATTCAACAACTCGAAGCAAATATAGTAGGGTCACTTCAAGTGACAACTTGATAGTATGTTTTTAGGCCTGGATGATTACAGAAAAGTAGGAAAAAATGGCACTGAGCCGATGCACAGGACAAGTAGCAAGATACTTTTTAATGGGTAGAAGTGATCAGGGTTACAAAAATGTCTTCTAGGAGAAGTAAGGTTGCCATCTACATCCCTTCATCTTCTAAAGCAGGCATATCAAACTCGCGACGTCACGTGACGTCATGCGACGTATCAGAGCTTTTTCACCATTGCCGGCAATGGGGTGGGCGCGGCTCCAGTATGATGAAACCAGCCGGCGAGACGGCATTTGACACCCCTGTTCTAAAGGATTATTGGGAGAGTGCAAAGTTATCAAAGATTCATTACGGAGAATGAATACATCCTTTTCAGAAATCCTCTTTAGATTTTGTTATGTATGATATATGGGATAACAAGTACTGTATTTTTCTGTATATAAGACACTATTTTTTTCCTGCAAACACCCTCTTCAAAAATCAGGTGCATCTCATACACGGAAAAATGGTAACTTCTGCAGCCTGTATGGGTTGCCATGCCGCCTGGTGCAGTGTCAAGCCCCTGTGGGCTTGCCACTAACGGGAGAGGGGAGGGGGCAAAATCTTCTGCCAGCTGAACTTGCAGTTTTGCTGGCTCAGCTGTCCGGCCCTTCTCTGAACAACTGGTTGGTGTGGAGAGCATCATATCCACAGGTGCGTCTTATAGATGGAAAAATACGGTATGTGCTCAAATCAATGATGGTTCTCCATTTGCCAATTGCTTTGTCATCTTCTGGGCTCTGATAAGCCCCTGAAAAGTTCACCTCTGCACTACCACCAATATCCCAAGTGGGGTAGAGCAAGGACAAGTGGAAGACGTGATATAGCAGAAATATACGTGCAAGTAAAGGAAAGGGTAGTTTTATCAGCGATTGGGACCAGAGCATAACCCAGCTCCAACACTGTTAAGCAAAACCACAAAGATTATTTTATGAGGCTCACTTTTCTCTTCCTTTTTGGCTAGCCTGAAATTAGGGTTGAAACAAAAATGTGCAAAATAACTGATCATTAAAATAAAAAAAAAAGATAACCTCAACTAGAAACTGCAAAATTAAATGGATAGGCCAGGTAAAATTATTTCAGCTGGTGTACCTTAACTGTCTAGCCCAGGGGTAGACAACCTCGGCTCTTTTATGACTCATGGACTTCAACTCCCAGAATTCCTGAGTCAGCATAGCTGACTCAGAAATTCTAGGAGTTGAAGTCCATGAGTCATAAAAGAGCCGAGGTTGCCTACCCCTGGGCTAGCCCAAATGAAGAGTACCAACAAGAAGCGTCAGTAGATAAAATCTTACTCTTGGAAAATCTTTCCCAATTGTTGGAAAAGTGTTCGAGAACTATATATAATCTGCTAAATCTTTGTGGGAGCAGATATAAGTGGAAACAACAACATACAGAGTAGGATTGTGCCAGAACTCTGACATTTAGAACAATTCACGTCATACAAAATGAACTTCAACATAGATTTTCTGTAGTTTTTACAATCTGCTCCCTTTGAATATAGCAAACTTAAGATTCTGACTATTTCCTTTCTTCATTTGTTTAGCTCTAAGTTAAAAGCAATAGTGTTTCTTCCTTTTTTTCTCCTCAGTGCTCTTCTCGCTACTGCTACACTAATTTCAATATACATATTGAAAGCAGTTATGGAAACAAGGGAAAGCCTAGCATATATACCAGCTTACCCTAGGAGCATGTGTATATAAATATACATATACGTGTACGCATGCACGCATGCCCACACATACGTACACACAGGCTGCAGAGGGAGCTCAGGTAGACCATTGGGTGAGCAAATGCTCACTTGACGCAATGAAGTTTGCTAAAGGGCAGAGAGGTTACTTCTCTTTCCTCTCTCCTTTCTTGCTTGTTGTGTTATTATAAATCTCTCTCTCTCTTTCTCTCTCTCTCTAAATATATTTCTGTTTTTTTCAGACACAGGATCTAGAGGCTCAGCCAAGCTCAGTCTCGACTGCTTCCAAAGATCTGCAGGAGAAAAGAAAATATGTAGATGATGTCCAGGTATATGTTGAGGGCTCCAAAGATGTATTCCTCTGGACTCATGGCGTAAGAACGGTTCCCCATCAGGAGCTGGGTATCAAAGGCCAGGAACTAAGGAGCAAACACAAGACAGTGATTAAAATGCAATCTTTTGGTGTCCAAGGTGTTGGATGGAGAAAAGGGTAAGGTTGTTGGTTCCCCAGTCTGTATCCCCAAATTCCATAATTTAATTAAGAAGAAAAGAGTTGGCAGAGATTGTATGAAAAAAATGTGTGCAAAGCCTATAGCCCTAGGCACGGATGATCCCAGATACCTCTTGGAAGTGCAGCTGGATTTGCACCCATGACTATTCAGCATCTCCTACCCAACTCTGCTCTTTGCTATGGAAGTTCCCTTCAACTGGATTATAAAGTGAGGATTTTCTCCAGCCCTAGGCCAGCTGGAATTCCAGTGCGTTCAGTGATAGAACAAGAATATGGAAAAGGAACCAATAGATGTGTCCTGTTCTTCCTACCCTTGTTGAGCTAGGCTTAGTTTTACTGTGGTTTGTCAAACAAGCCATAGTGGCTAGGTTCACACAGTATCCTAAATCAAAACTAAACTAGCACTATGATGGATGCATATTTATTGGCAGGACAGAATTTAAATATCAAAATTTAAAAAAAATGGGTAAGCTATTCAGTAGATTTAGATCCCAACTTTTCTTTGGAGTCCCACTTGGGGACTTCTTCTGTTCTTCTACTTTTCCTTATAATAAGCATATGAGGTAGAAGGTATGAAAGTCTCTTACCCCCCCCCCCCAATAATTTGCAGAAGTGGCATAAAGGTGGCTGAAAAGAGTTCATCTGGGCTAGATTAAAAATCAAACTAGAAATGAATCTGTGGGCTAAATTTTTCACATTACTGTCACATCCATATAAGATTCATGAAATGGCACTTCAAGTCCCACAACTACAAATGAAGTGGTATTAAGCATATCAAACTTAGATGATTTAAATTTCAGACATCTGCTTTTCCCACTGAACCCTCCTTTTTTAAAAAATTTTGGTCCCTTTAAGTCAGCTTTGACTCCTGGCAACTGCCAGGTTGCATCCATGAGTTTTTTTGGCAAGATTTTGGGAGTGGTTTGCCTTTACCTGCTTGCTAGAGCCAAGAGAGGGACTGGCCCAAAGTCACTTTTGTGCCTAAGTAGGATAAGAAGGTGGGAATAGAATTCCCAGTCTCCCATTTTCCAACCTGGAGCCCTAACCACAATACCAAACTGCTGCAAAAACATGGCCTGGCTATTTTTTATGCTGTTTCCCCCTTGTTGCTGCTTCATCCCAGTTGATATATAAGGTAGCTGTAAGTCCAAACCCAGACTGGGTTTGGCATTTCTGTCTACCTATCGAGTCCTTACCAAGGACTTGGGATAGAGATGTGCATGTTTGATGGTGTTACAGATATCGTCACAGGATGGAAGCTGTTCCCAGTAAAGCTGCCTTTTGCAATTGACTGATGGCAAATTTGTCAATGCCAATGGTATCCAAGTGGTGCTCCAGTTGTTTTGAGATTACACCCAAGGCACCTATTACTATTGATACTACCCTTGCTTGCCTTTGCCACAATCATTCTATTTCTATTGTAGATCTTTGTATTTTGTTATCTTCTCCAGCTCTTTCTCTTCTCTTCTGCTGTTTCCAGGCACTGCCACGCCCACTATCCAAACTTTTTTGTCTTTCTTATTGACAATTGTTAAGTTAAGTCTGGGGTGTTATGTGGCAGGTACTTGTCTGTTTGAATTCTAAAGTCCCAGAGCAATTTAACTTTTTTATTTTCTATAATTTTCTCTATTTTATGGTTCCACCAGTTCTTGTTTTCAGGCAAATGATATTTCTTGCAGATCTTCCAATGCACCATTGTTGCTACTTTGTCATGCCGCTGCTTGTAGTCAGTCTGTGCGATCTTCTTGCAACAGCTTACCAGGTAGTCCACTGTTTCTTCAGCTTCTTTGCATAGGCGGCACTTGCTGTCTGTTGCTGTCTTCTCAATTTTGGTTTGTATGCATTTATCCTCAAGGGCTGGTCTTGTGCAGCCAGAATTAGTCCCTCAGTCTCTTTCTTTAAACTTCCTGCTCTTAACCATTGCCAAGTCTTCTCATTATCTGCTTTCCCAGCTATTTTTTTAATGTACTGGCCATGTAGTGCTTTGTCTTCCCATGCCTCCATTCTGTTCTTTATTTGGTCTTTCTTGTAGGCCAGTTTGGTCTCTCTAGTAGTCAGTAAGCCTTCCTGATATACTAATTTCAGGGCATCTTCATCATTGTCCTTCAGATATTCTTCCAAAGTCATTTTTTCTTCTTCAACCACCTGATATACTTGCAACATTCCACATCCACCTCTGCCATGGTAGGTAGAGTCTGTCAATGTCACTGCGTGGATGAAGGGCATGATTCATTGTCATTATTTTTCTGGACTTCCTATCCATTGCTTTTAGTTTTGCTTGAGTCCAGTCCACTATTCCAGCTGTGTATCTAGTGATTGGAATTGCCCAGGTGTTGATTGCCTTTATGGTATTTCCTCTACTGAGTTTGGACTTTAAGATCTTTTTCACTCTCTTGATGTATTCACCTCTAATCTTTTCCTTGACTTCAGTGTGCTTGATGTTATCAGCTTGAAGGATACCCAGATATTTGTAGTAATCATCCTCATCCAGACTCTTAATGTTATTTTTGTGGGGCATCTTGATTCCTTCAGTTTTCATTATTTTTCTTTGTTTGATAGTGAGCATGACACATCCAAACTCCATTGCAATATCTTGGCTATATATATGGACAGTGTTGAGCAGCAATTATATTTCAAATGGGGTTTTTCCATACAGCGTCAGATCTTCCATGTAAAGGAGGTGGGATTATTTCTAGGCACTTGATTATCCAGTCATGTGGCAGAGAGTCAAATGCCTTTTTATAGTCAATCCATGCTACATTCAGGTTGGTCTTCCTTCTCTTGCAGTTTTCCAAGATCATTTTGTCAATTAGGAGTTGATCTTTTGTTCCTCTGCTATTGGGGCAGTTTCCTTTCTGCTCAAGTGGCAAGAGATTGTTTTCAACTAGATGCTGTTGGACTGCTTCAGCTACCACACCAGTTAGCAATTTGAAAGTTGTTGGTAAACAAGTAATTGGCCTGTAATTGCCTGGTGCTGCCACTTTTGATGGATCTTCATTATTAGGTAGGTTTTCTCAGTTGTTAGCCACTCTTCAATTTCACCTCCTTGTTGTATGTTGTTGAACTACTTGGCAATGAGTGGGTATACACCAGTTAGATGTTTCAACCAAAAACCATGCAATTCATCTTTACCTGGTGCTGACTAATTCTTGATCTTCCTTGCTCTTTTCTCTACCATTTCTGCTGTTATTGCTAGTTCTTTCATTTCAACTTCTTTTTTATTCCCAGCCAACTCTTTTAACCAAGCCGTGTCCTTGTTGTATTTCTTTGGATTATCCCATATCTACACCCAAAACTGCACTGTTTCTTCCTTGTCAGGTACTGACTGATTCATTGCAGTTTCTCCATTGATGGATTGGTAGAAACATTTCTGATTGGATTGAAATTGGAGGTTCCGCCTAATTTGCAATTTGAGCTTTGTATCTGCTGATCTTCTTGACTATAGCTGTTATTTGCTGCTTTATTTCCAGTGCTTCCTTGATCTTCTTTGTTTCTAAGTGGTATTTCTTGATTAGGTATTCCTTATTCTTCAGCTTCTTTTCTTTCATCTGTTCTAGCTTGTTGCATCTGATCTCAATTTGCTGATCTTATTTTCCATTCTAACCTTCCATTTTTATGTTGTTTGGTTTTTTTTCTTGATTTTGCATCCCAGGTATTCAATTATAACTGCAGCTATGCTCTACATTAGTTGATTTGTTTCTCTTGCAGTGAGTTGGTGCTTATACATGATATTGCAGTATTTGCATCTTTTAATGCTTGTGCTAGCTGTTTCTTTGGAACAAGCTTCAATGCAGGCAGCCTTATTCTAATGTTTTTGTGCTGTTCTAGATGCTCAGTTATTTTTTGTTTCAGTTCTTTTATTTCTTTAGTTACAGGGCTTTGTTCTTCTTGAGGCAGAGGTGTTTGGTTTCCAAATGAAAACAGTTGTATAACTTTGCTGGATTCCTCTACTGCCAACTCCACATGATTTGTCTCTACATTCTGAGTTATTTCTGGCAAGGCTTTGATTTCTTTGCCCTGGGTTAACCTTTGCAATTCTTCCAATTCTGCTTCTGTGAATACAGTACTTTATTTCATATTATAAATTGACATTGATGTGCTAGCCTCTGTTCTGTTATTTCTGATTCTGGATGTTGTTCTTTCCAGAACTGGTGCATTCGTTTCTGATATCTTCTTCTTGTTGGACTTGATCTGTAATAACAGATCATTATTTCTTTGTTTTCAATCACTGTATATTTGTAAACACCTTTTCTTCCAGTAGTTCTGCAGCTGCTGGCCCTGGTTGCTCAGCCAATAATCCTGAGTCCTGTAGCTTATTTTTCACCAGCTATCCAGGAACTTCAACATCTACCATGGACCTTGTTAACCCGGGCAACATCCGAGCCAGTATGGCTTTCTGAAATTTATGTCTCATATTTTTTATGGGAGAGACACCCTTTGTCTAACTCCACTGATAAGACCTGTCCAGTATGGTTGAACCTCTAGCATAGCTCTCATCTTCCTCAGAGCACACAAGCCCCATAACCACATCAAGGTAGTGCCTCACTGGGGTATATTATTATTATTATTATTATTATTATTATTATTATTACTACTACTACTACTACTACTATCATCATCATCATCATCATTTTCCATCCCATTTCCTTTGCTTCATGACTGTTTCCTAAAAGCCTCATTAAAGAAAGTTGGCAGGACCTCACCATTCATATTTGTGATTTAGTGCCATGAGCAATCCAGGGTTATCAAAGGTGCAAAGGTGACATGATCAGAAAGCAAGAATAACAGCCTTTCTTTGTTTGAAATTGGAAGTGGTAAGCTGGTTTATTCCAGTATTGTTAACAGGATTACGGGAATAGGCCGGATAACCTTGTTGGTTTAAGGCACCGGCCCATTTAGTTGATATGTGTATATCTCTCCTATCATTGAGTATTTACGTAAGAACCATATTCAAAGATAAATGAAAACTGAGGGAGGGTTGCAGCGAAAAAAGAAGAAAAAAAAACCCTTTTAGTAGCTCACAGAAGTGTGCAGAGAAGTCCACAGAAAGGTTTTCCAGGAACCCTGACAAGAAGAGAGAAATGTTCTAGCACACAGAGGGTATATATCTCAAATAAGGAGGTTCATTTCCATCAGATGGATTATGGAACGAAGAAATAGGGCTGCCAACTGTTGAGCTGAAAACACTGCTGACTGGTGGACTGAATCTGTTCTTAAATGGTACATGAAAAAGGATCTGATGTGAGACCAGCCTACAACATTTTCACTACCCCATTGCCTTTTTCTTTGTTCTTTGCCTATGTCGCATCTCTCTGCATGGCAGAGCCCAGAATAGGGAAAGGGCAAAGTCTGTACAAAGTCTTCTCCTATGAATGCACTTGTTTTCCATCCCTTTAATACAAGTATGTGGTCTACAAGCTTCTAGAATGTGCCTTTAAAAAGTTGATGGCTTTATTGACACCATTCATTCATTCATTCATTTATCCATTTGACAATAGTTCACATTTCTGGTTGTTTTGCATTGGTGCAGAAATCCAAACAATAAAACATGACTAGGAGAGGAGATTGACTTTTTATGGGGAGAAAAATCAGGCTGAACATACTTTCCATCCACAGATTTGTATTTTGGGACCAACTTCCTTGAAACTGACCACTGACACCATATACTTTCCATAGTCCCCTTATGTCTATGGCACATTGTAGCCTATATTGTTTTAGCTTTCCTTGGTCTGCATGTTTCTAGATGTTTTACTCTGCTTTAGATTCTTAAACTGAAGAACAGCATTGTCCAAGGATTTCATCTTCCATTTGAAGGCAGTTAAGGAATGATGCTTGCCCATTAAGTAAATATTTTTACCTAAATTCTATAAGTTTATTGTAATATCATAAAAGGGACATACAGATCTCACTACTTTAACCCAAACAGGGACAGCTTTCAGCCTTAAGTCCCAAAGGTGCTTTTTTCAAAAGGCAATTGGACTTCCTTTGTTTAAGTTGCTGACTTAAAGGACTGAAGAACTGAAGAAGCTTCTTCAATCAAACGAGAAAAACAAAGAAAGTCCAGTTGCCTTTTGAAAAAGCGCCTTTGGGACAATCATGACCTGGATGACTGAGAATCTCCATAAATCTTCAGTCCTAGGGATATAGAACGTCCCTACACCACATTTTTCAAGCTGTCAGAGCCTCTCTGAAAGCATCACCAGATTAATTTCCCATCATTTTGAAGAGGTAACATGTACATTAAAATAGGCTTCACGGTGTTTAAAAAAAAATTACTTGACAACCCACCCAAAACAGAACCTCCTAGTCTATGTGCATGATGTAATTCCATCCACTTTGTATCATCGCCAAGCCCACTTTCAGCCTTTGCTGGCCCTCCCCCCTCTACAAAATTACATAAGACCCATATCCACTGAAAAGACTCTGCTTGAACCTAGGCAAGACAAGCAATGCTGACTTACCATTGTAAATACAATTGCACCCAAGACAGCATAAATGGCCTGGAGCCATGGCACCTACAGAGAAAGAGACAGAGCTGTGGGGTCAACCTAACAAGACAGAATTTATATAACCTATACGAAGACAGAAACATCCAAATGTCTGCTGAAAGAAGGAAGGTTTAGTTGATTTGCAAATTTGTTTGTATCCAAAATAGAAATGTTTCTGAAAAAAGGAAAACAACCAAGTGAGCGTAATGATAGATAACCTTGTGGACAGAAAATATAGGGCAGCAGATTCTAACTACCCGTAAGGTGCTCCCTAAGGTAGGACTCCTTCATTTGTGGCCCTGGAGGTTTCTTCTTGAAATAGTTGCAAACCTGTCCTTCACCAGCACAACGAACACTGGATATTCTGCATTTAACAGGGAGTTGAGGCCTTGATGGGACCATTATCTTTCTAGTCATTCAGTTATACTGCCTCTTGCAGGAAATTGGGACCTCATTATGGACTTGTGTGCCTGCAGAATTCTAATGATGGCCTTCTCATTCAAGCTACTCTAAGGCTACATCTTTCAGTATCCAGTCTCTACTATTTCTATTGCTATATACCTTTCTGTGAGTACATATGTGCAATTAAAGAGCTTCTCATATAGTCAGACTAATTAAAAAGCACCCTTAAATTTACTTTGGGCCTGAATAATTCAGACATGTAAGCAATATTATTTTCCCATTTTTGCTTCTGTTAATATTTAAGATGAATGTATGACTGGAATGTTATACATTTTTACATAGCTGATAATATCTCATTTGTACATTATCGGGTTGTAGATGACGGAAGCATACATTCCCCTCAATCAGATTTTGAATAGTTATCGCTTTTTAGAACTACCATATTCAAATCAGCGTGCGCGTGTTTGTTGGTTTCTCTGTGTGTGTGTGTTGTGGAAACCTTTTGTTGTTTTCTATAGAGATAGTAAAAAGATCACATGATAAAGTTTTTATCAGTTTGTTGCATTGATTAGCAGCAATTGTAAATGGGGGAATCACAGGAATGAAGCTCCTTTATATAAAGAATATTTGTAGCAAGATTTATTTAAGGTAAGAGACCAAATCAAAATGGGACTTGCTACCTTGTCTTCAAGTAGAAATCACATTAAGGAAGAGGACAACTTTCTCTGGGTCAAGCTAATTGACTTGCATCCTGTCTGCTTCTCAACCCCCATTCTTGAATGCATTGAAGCATACAATTCATCATCTTGTGATCGATTGGAACTAGCTTCAGGTCATGATCTGCTCTTATCTGCAGACTTGTCCAAAGTTATGGTTGTGGTCAGGAAAAATGATGGGAAAGTCTTTTAACACAAGAATGTGCTGAAAGCCATTTGGAGAAGATGGAATATGAAATGCAACTCTTTACACACACATATGCATTTTTGTAAAAAAAAAATCATGTTGGGGGGGGGGTCTTTCGTTTGACAATTGCCATCTTCAACATTCCCAGAAAACAAAACAATGTGTTTTTATCTAGACAATTTTTGTTTGCCTTACCTATCAGAGTTTTAGACATGAGGCAAATTAAGACATACAGAGGTCCAAGATCAGAGGGATCAGATACTCTGAGGACTAGGCTAAAAGTATTGCTAACCTCCAACTTGTCTGCTGCTTCCTCTGAGGTGCGGCACTTGTCAGCCATTTGTCCAAAATGGTGTAAGGTTTCCTGCCTGAGCAGGAGGTTGGACTAGATGACCTCCAAGGTCCCTTCCAACTTTACTACTACTACTACTACTACTACTACTACTACTACTACTACTATTATTATTATTATTATTATTATTATTATTATTATTATTATTAATAATTTCCCCTACGTCTCTTTTTTAATTATATCAAATGAAAAGAAAAGCTGATCACACTCAATGGTTTGGCTATGGTGAAAGGAATTGGTAAATGCTATTTCCAATCCATCAGTGTTATTTTTTTTAAATGGACATCTATGGGGAGAAGAAGAATAAGCTGTTTTTCCCAGAACTCTAAAATCCCAGCAAAAACACACTGTAAACTCTTTTCTCCCAAACCCTGTCAGAAGCCTATGAGGCACTTTTTTTTTTTTTTTTAGATAATAGTGGACATTAGAAAATCCTCCCACTGCGAATGACGTCTTCTGCTACTACGGAATGATAACAACAGAAGAATGTGAAGGGAAGTTCAAAATGGTTTCCAGTGGGAAGCAATTAGCGATGACAAATGATCCCAGCCAACAAAGCTAATGGGAAGCCCAACCCAGCCGAAAATCAAGCAAACAAAGCACACCTATCAAAGGGACATAGGCTAGCACAAAGAGTCCGCTCCCTTTTTCCATCAATATTTTTCAATTGAAGGCTCCTGTGATAACAAATGGTGGTAGAGTGAAAACTCTGCTGTTGGGATGGAGAGATTCTAACCTTCCTCCCTGCCTCCACTCTACCCATTTCTTTCCGTCTCACAATAAATATTTGCCCTTTGAGCAGTTCAAAACTAAACACAACCCAGTGACAAAACTTGCCGCTGCGAAAATGATAGCAAAGGCCTGAAACACAGGTAATTGTTCTGGCAAAACAAATTGAGGCAAGGCTTAGGAGGAAGCTGCAGTTGGAACATTTAATCAGTGGAACCACTTGCTTCCAGAAATTGGAGATTGAACAACCATTTGTCTGAAATGATATAGGGTTTCCTGCGGGAGCAGGGGGGTTTTGACTAGACCTCCTCCAAGGTCCCTTCCAGTTCTGTTATTCTGTTAGTCTATTGTTCTGTTACTGAGTGAGAATATATGGAAAAGAGGGCGAGAACATGGCAATTAGATATCAGGCAATTAGCAGCTTCCAGAACAGATTCCACAAGCAGTAGAACAAAAGGTTAGCAGAAGATGGCTGATAGGGTATTTTTTTAAAAAACTCATCTTTACCCTCCTCTCTTAAACAAGATGTCCCAAAACTGTTTACCACCTCTATGTCATAACTGCCACCTCCTCTTTTGGCTGACAATCTGTCCCAAGCCTTCTGCTTTACACCAGCTTTGCCAGCAGCAGTTGTGATAAAAGTAAACATTAAAAAAAATAGAGGAGAAACATAAATTAAATCTAAAGAGGCTAGTGAGAAAAGAGAAAGGAAATGATTTCCCTTCCAAATATATAGAGAGGTTCACATACTTAGAATAGAATAGAGTGACAGAGTTGGAAGGGACCTTGGAGGTCTTCTAGTCCAACCCCCTGCTCAGGGCAGGAAACCCTATATATCATTTCAGACAATGATTGTCCAATCTCTTTAAAACTTGCAGTGTTGGAGCATTCACAACTTCTGGAGGCAAGTTGTTCCACTGGTTAATTGTTTTAACCGTCAGGAAGTTTCTCCTTAGTTCTAGGTTGCTTCCCTCCTTGATTAGTTTTCATCTGTTGCTTCTTGTGCTGCCTTCAGGCGCTTTGGAGAATAGCTTGTCTCCCTCTTCTTTGTGGCAACCCCTGAGATAGGAACCAGACTGAACCATGTTTGCTTTCAAAGGATCTTTCTGTAGTTTGATTAGTGAAGACAACATAGATACAATGGAAAACTAATGCAGAGAAAAAAATTAAGATAGTGGGTTTTGCTTCTAACTGAACTGCAAAACTGAGCATAGAAAGATAGTTCTGCCTCTCAACTGCAACTAGATATGGCAAAATAACACTTGGTAGGATGCCTATATGGATTTGATTAACAAAAATACAAAACTTACATAATGGAAAGGAAGCGTAATAGCCAGTATGATCCCACTAAAAAGCAGCACCATCAGCATCACAAAGAGCACCCCCTGGCAAGACGTAAAGTCATACTGTGGGAGAAAATAAGAGGACATTAGTGTACGATGCATGGATGAATTTGAAAGTTCCCTAGCTCCTGGATAGCCTAAGTGATGCCTATATATGCCTTTCCCAACTTAATATTTACCAGATGCATTGAATCTGCCACCTTAGCCCACCAATGAAGTTGATATCCAATGAATCTTCAAGTCACAAGATTGAGTGAGCTCCCAATAAATGAAATTTCCCAAATATTTGCTACTTCATTTAGTACCCATATGAGACAAACCAGTACACCTTATAGCCCTTACTACATGTTCTCTGAACTTAAGATATCTTATATCTTCTGTTCTATTCTATTCTATTCTATTCTATTCTATTCTATTCTATTCTATTCTATTCTATTTTCCCTTTTATGTTATCTACTGTATAAACCCCAACACAGCCCTCAATACCAATCATAAGTAGAGATCAGGTCAAGAGTACCGGTAAATGCAGCATGAACTCAGCCCTTTCAAACAATAGATAATGTTTAACTTGAATGTAGAAAGGGCAAAAAACTCTTCCAAATTATTCTACTATATTTGTTTTTGTTTTGTTTTGTTTTGTTTTTTGCTCCTCCTGTCTGATAAAGGTCTTTGGAATCAGTGATGATATAGGATGGGGTTTTTTTTAAAAAAAAAAACAACAACATCATACTGTTTGAAGAGGACTTGCCCAATAATTTCATTCTTAGTGGGATAAAAGTGATTTTTACTTGCTCGCTGGCAATACTTGAGCCAATTCGCAAATTTGGGTAGGTAGGGGAGAGGGAAGAGAGGCAAGGCTAATTCCATGGAAACTTGGCCTTTCGAGGCAACCATTACTGCATGACAAGAAAAACAATGTAAGTTTGCTGGATGATGAAAGTTCTACAACAGTATTTCTCAAACCTCGGAAACTTTAAGACGGGTGGTCTTCAACTCCCAGAACTGAAGTCCACTCATCTTAAAGTTGTTGAGGTTGAGAAACACTAGAGTGAAAACTTCCTTCTGCTAAGATTGCAAAGAACTTGATCACAAAACATTCTTGCCTGCTAACTTTAATAAAGAAAAACTTCTCTGCTTACTTATGAGATGTACAATTAGGGAGCTATGATATAAATTTATGCACCTTGGTCTGGAAGCTAAATATGGTGACAGAAAGGCAAACCAAAGCTGTAATCCCCAAGCAGAGGAGGACGGACGTGGTATTGTAGTAGCTGCAAAAGGAGTAAATGACATGACATTGTTGAGAAGAATCAAGCAATCAACATCCGAGACACCATAAGAAAGTCTGCTTAAAATTTATACATTTGCCTATGGATCCATTTGTTAATCAAATGGCCAACTTCCATCTTCAGGGTTATAGAAAACCACCTGTGGGATATTTTTCTAATTGACTGCCAATTAATCCCAGCAAGAAAAGTTCTGGTTTCAGTTGAATGTTGATCCTGAACATTTTTTGTATCATTATATGTAAATAATGGATCCATTCAGGCAGCGGAGGAGCTGAAGAATCTTTGCTGGAGGTGTGAGATAGCAGGAAACAGGAGGGTATATTCTTGCTTTTGACAATATGAAGAATTATCTGGTAATTATGGGGTTAATACAGAGCAGAAGGGGGGTTGGGGGTAAAGCCCGGGAAAGAAAGAGGAAGAAAACATTTGACCTTCACACTAATTGGATAATGTGAGATATGATGGCTAATTTAGGGAGGGAACATACTGATAATTTAACTGCTCAGAGGAAGACAACTTAGATCCTAGCATCCCTCCGTTGTGCCTGTGCCGACATTTTGTAACAATAAAAGACTTTTAGGAAAATAATGCCTGGAAGTTCTTTGAAATGTTTCATTAGCCGGAACCATAACACCAGAACTTTTTGGCTTTTTTTACAAATCCATCAGGCATGATAAACTGACCTATCATGTTGTCCACATAATAAATTCAAAGTACCTTTACACAATAGGGTCCTTGATGCTCTCTGAGCTTGGTGGTTTTCTTGTAGAGATTTCATTACCAAACCAGTTAAGATCATGAAGTTGTTACCTAATTTGCTAATGAAACATCCTGCAAGAAAACCACCAAGCTCAGAGAGCACCAAGGACTCCTCGGTTTAACCCTAACCTATAAATATTGTCTTTTATCTGCACCTTTAAACATTCTAAGACAATTTTTCTGCAGTCATATATACCAACAATGTATCCTTTTATAACAAATCTCTTTTTAAGTTATAACTATGTAAATTCCAATTTTTTAACATATTTAAAATTTAATTTAAATGTAATTTCCCATTACTCCATCCATATATTGTATCCAAAGTTCTTATACCTAGACTTAATTAGAAACATGCTTCTAGAAAAATATGCTCAGTATTCTGAGTGTCCCAATTTACGTTAGCTTTTGTATTCTTTTGCAAAAGCTTGCTGGGGAGGCATTGTGATTATTGCCCTGTTCAGTTGTCCAGGATGCTTGAGTGACAGCTTTGTTTATCTGCTCCTCACAGTCCGTTTGCTCTCCCTATGCTATTGGTTGGCCTTTGATAAATACAGAACAATGGAAATCCATCATGTTGCCCTACACGAGATTGTTACAGCAGAAACAAAAGGAGGATTATACAAGACCCAGACCAGAGACAGATTGAAAAAAAAAATCATTCTAGCACCTTCCCCCTCTCCCCACTTCAATCTATTCATTTCTGGGCAGAATTAGAGCTACTGTACATTAGTTGCATGCTATCAGCTTGTTCTTGATTCCCCAAAACGATGACGTTCCAGGGGAGTAAAACATTGGAACAGTCCTTCTGCTAACACTTCTTCTCCACTCACTATAGCCTTTCCTGATGTGCAATGTGAAGCTATAAACATAGACACAGTAGTGTAGTCGTTCATTGGCTATTTTATTTTGCCCATCTGCCCAGGTATGTTATAAAAAAAACCCAGCTAGAGCTTTCAGAAAAATATGGTTTTCATTATTACAGAAAAGGGATAAAATAAATAAATCTGTAAGTTAGCAATCAACCATATTTTGAGGACTCTATTGGGTGATTTTAGGCAATGCATAAGTACTCCATCCAAAGAACATTGACCATTTTTCAAGATTGTTCAATGTCCTTAATATTTTACCTTAAAATGAGCATAGTCCCATCAAAATAGTATGAGGTTTGGTAATTTTGTAAGATTTCAATCATTATTCATTGCCAGTTGTGTAAATAACACAGAATTAATTTTAAAACAATTTTGTATGACTTCAAATAATAAGAAAAATTAAAAGAACAAAAATAAAAATAACCATTGTAGTATTTTCTCTTTCCTTTCAGTTAAGGGGAAATATAGTTAATCTTAAAGCTTTGGCTAACCAATGTTAGACAATGGCGACTTTTATTGAGAATTTAATAAATAAGTACGGAATTAGTATTTGGGACTCTATTATTAGTTTTTTTCCATCTTATTAGCTTCTAGTGCAAACCACATTAGCAGAAAATTGAGCTTGACTGCAATTCTGTCCCATCCCCTTATTCTTTTAACAGATTGTCGTCCTACCTGCCAAACAACTGCAGTTCATTTGATGCTGATCTAACTTAGGAAAAGACATTAGGATAAATAGAGGAAGAGGGTGGGCTTCCTTCTGAAAACAGAATATAGTGTCATGATGTCATGAATCAATAGTACTACATGCCAGCTAGGTTAAATAAATATTAACCCTTTCCCTAATGTTGGAGATGCAGTATAAATGATAAACGCAATCATGTTGGGAAAAGTTGCCTAATTATAGGCCACTGATTATTGGCTACAGATTTGGGCTACAATTGGGGAACTGAAAAATAATGGTTTTAGAAAGTCTAGAAATTCAAATCAAATTATATATTTGATATAGGGCTTGATTTTTAGAGGTAATGATTGCAGAAAAATTGCCAGGGAAAAATATGGAACAGCTTGCCCCCAGAAATCACGAGTGCTCCATCACTGGAGATTTTTAAGAGAAGGCTAGACAGTCACTGTCTAGATGGTATAGATTCTCCTGCTTAAGCAAGGGACTGGACTAAAAGACCTCCAAGGTCACTTCCAGTTCTATTCTATTCTTAAATACACCACATGTTATTCAGGCGCCTAGTATGGAGACATACCTGGAGAGCATTCCTGTCAAGTAGGCCATGGACAGAGTCTATAGAAATAATTTAAAAAAACAGTTACTGCAGGAGTACAAACTGCAGGCTAGAAAAAAGAGTGTAAAACTATTTATGGATATCATTTTTTGAGTCTTTCCAAGGCAAGTATTCACAACTAAACTAAAAGACTATAATCTACCATATTCCATAACCATCCAACCATTTTATTGTTTATCTTGTGGTAGAAAAATAAGGAAGAGAATAAGTGAGGTTTTGGGCAAAGGAAGGGGGTCCTTCTAAGAAACAATCATGGTGAACCTGGACATGTGAGGCATGAGATGTGGTTAACTAGGTAATTGTACAAGTTAATGAAGATGTTGTACAGATAACTGAATAGCTACATGCAGGGTAGATTCATAGGACTGAAGTTGAAAATCCTACTATTCTTGTTAACTAATAATGTGCTTGGTTTGTTTACTGCACCAATGAGGAGCTGAAATCTTCAGGAGTTGACAATCTATCCCTTATTGGTCTATTCTATTGGATGGTTTCAACTGATAATTGGAACGCCATAATTACTTGTGATGGGAAATAGAGGGCGATAAATGTTTTGCCTTTTCAATTTACAGATTAAGGGGGGAAAGTGTGCTGTAAAACTCCCCCCAGGGCTGATCAACTATCCCAGCACTGACTAGGCTACTCACAAAGATGCTGAGGAGGATCAGGTTCCATGGGAAATACCTCCTGTGAATTAAATGAAAAGGAGCCAAGTGAACCAGGTTATCCAAAGTGCATCATTGTGAAAAGAAAGTTGTACATCATTGACTTTGCATAATAAGATCATTAAAGAGCAACAGAGCAATTAAAGAAATCAAGCCCCAGCAAGTACAATTTTGCAAGAATTCTGGTACACAAAAGGGCTTGATATCAAGGCACCAACTTCATTTGACTTATGGCTAAGCCTAAAGTACAGGAGTTACTGAGCGAAACATTTTTATGGCATGAAAATTAATTCTCACCTCCTAATTGCTGTGGATGGAGCTGGGCAGCTATTAAAGAGCCAGCTAGTGCTGTTTGAATAGCTAGTCAGCCTAATTTGGATCAAATATTAGCCAAAATATTACAGCATTGAGATACATCAGTCCTTTAAACCAAAGTAATCAGGTGAATGAGAACTTCTCTTTTCTAAGTCAATGTATAATATATAATATATGTAATATATATAGAGAGAGAGAGTAGAGAACTCCCTCCAACTATAAAATGTCAAGACATAGCACTGGAATATAGCAAATGTCTTTTGATGCACCTGAAAGATAGAATCTAAATTACAGTAGTCATGTTAATTATGTGAAGCTGTTTTGCTTTTTTTCTTTCCAGAATTTTTCCTTCCTTCATCCCCTTTTCCCCCTCCCAGAATACTTCTGTGTATATATAACGGTAGAATCGAAGTCCTGAGTATTAATCAATTAGAGTTGAGAATTTCATCCTGGACTTGCAGATGGAAAGGTAATATCTTAGTTAAATGTTTTAACAGTTAAAAGATGAATTCTTCAATTTCTTCAAAAGATGATCATCTTCAATTAAAAGATCATTTCTTCACTGAGCATTAATGGATACAAAGTGCAGTTCTAAAAGAGGATTGATGGCTGGTGGCAACTAGGCATTGAATGTATTCAATTGCTGCTCTGAGGATTTGGGATAAACCAATGGAATGGTTTTGATTCAGCCTGCTTCCCCCTTCCCCCCCTCTCCCAAGGGCAGATGGCTGAGTTTTATGGCTAACAGGCCAAGGAGATCTTGTGCAAAGAAAAAATTACACCTTTTTTGAAAATTAATGCCCATTACCTTGTAGAGGAGACGGGGTGCATACAAATTTAATGAATAAATAAAATCTCAGGACTCATTTTGTCTATGTTCTTGTTCTTCCTGTTATATTCAACATGTTCACATGTAAGTGAATACTGTTGCATTTTTAATCATCCCAATAACAATACATAATAAAAAAACCCTTATAATCCCTTTGATCTGTTTCCCAGAAGGAAGCAAATCCATAAAAATTTGGCAGCCATATATCTGGTTCTTTAGAGAGGTCAAAGAGACTAGCGCAAGTGATGTTAGAACAGTGATGGCAAGCCTTTTAGAGACCAAGTGCCCAAACTGCAACCCAAAACCCACTTATGCATCATAGGGTGCCGAGTGGGTGTGGCCCATTGTGTGGGTGTGGTCAATTGGATCGGTGTGGCTGTGGTGGTAATGACAGACTGCGTGGGATTAAAAAGTTCAATCAATCAATTCCAACTTTGCAAGATCTTTTTTTTTTCCCACGAGAAGTTGAAATTGACTGATTGATTGAACCTTATTTTCTTTTTTTTGCACATGGTGGCGGAGGCCTAAAGCGAAAAGGTTTTATAAAACCCAGCTGAAGGCCTAGGACTCGGGCGATGGTGCGTGTGCCCACAGAGAGGGCTCTGAGTGCCACCTCTGGCACCCGGGCCCTAGGCTCGCCACCGTTGTGTTAGAATGTCCAAACTTCCACTACTGCACAGTCTCTTCCCCAAGCAGAATCAACCCACCACAAACCCCTTGTAGTCCAAACCCCTTGTGTTAATTTTACCTTGGTGCAGAGCAGCAGGCAAGGATCAAATAGGTGATAAAGAAAACGGCACTAGGAAGAAAAAAGGAAGAGAGAAAAAGAGAATCAACCAAGGGAAAGAGAGGGAATCCTGCCTGTTGTTGCTCTGAATTAAATTATATTAAATTAAAAAAGTATTTTTTCTTTCCTTTTTCTTTCTTAGATGATCAAGGGTGAACAATTTCTGAGAAAGAAGCACTATATAAATACTGGACATAATGATTCCTCCTTCATTAAAAAAAACAACAATACATTATAATATTTTTACCAGAACCTACTGGGATTGGTAGAACAAAAACACAATAACACAGATTCCAGATTGAAACTATGTAGATGCAAAAAAAAAAAAAAGGGGGGGGGGAGAAGGCGTATAAATAGGGAAGGGTCACCAAGATCAGGAAGTTCCCCTCTGTAACAGTGTCATTAAGTACTTCTTTGTGCTTTCTCCATAAAATTGAATACTGTAAACAGCTGCTTTCAACCTTTCTCTAACAATGGCCTTCTACCAAGACAGACAGTTTGTCCACCTTGCCCAGTTATAGTCCTGATACCAAATTCTAGGAAGGGGGAAGGAAGCAGTATCTTTCTGTGCTTCAAATTATATAAGCCCTTCCCAGCACTCATATGTTATATTTTATTACAATGTTGTCCTCTATTGCTGTGAACATTATGTACATTTTCTGTGGTAACAAAGATAGATATTTGAGGAACAGGTTTGAAAATATACCCTGCGCAAAGTCTGTTCCTTGTGTGACGGTAGAGGAGAAAATAGCAATGCTCCCTCTCCTCCAGTTTATGCACCCCCGAGCCCGTTTTGCAGTTTTGATCAGCATTATTCCACAATATGTGGACATTAGGGCTGCACAAGTCTTTGGAAAGAGATGCTTTGGAACCCACCAAAGCAGGTTTTCCAAATGTAGGTGCTGGGACAATGTAGCAACTTGAAAAACCATGCTTTGGGAAGCTGTCCCTAGTGTCTCCCACACATGTCCACACAACCGTAAGTAAGTGCTGTGGCTCTATAATGAACAGAACACAGACGGCCAGGATCTGTTTCCAGAGCAGGTGCACAAGGCAGACAAAAGACATAGCTGTTTTCCTGAGTCAAAAAGAGGCGCTTCGTACTATATGTGTGCTTGGGTATTCCAAAATACCCATTTCAGATTATTTGTTCAGTTCTAGAGGATACTGTATTTGTATGCAAACTTCCTGTACTCAGTGGTCCTCCAGAAGTATTAGATTACAATTTCCATGATCCATAGACAGTCTGCTGGCAAAAGATTGTCAGACTTGAATTTGCAAATATCTATATTTCTATATAGAGATCCAGTCTGGTGCAGTGGTTGAACTATCATGCTAGAAACCAGAAACAGTAAGTTCTGGTCCTGCCTTAGACACAACACCAGCAGAGTGACCTTGGGCCAGTCCCTCTCTCTCAGCCCTAGAAAGCAGGAAATGGCAAACCACTTCTGAAAACCCTTGCCAAGCAAAATTGCAGGGACTTGCCCAGGCAGTCATCAGACAAGAAGGTACACACACATTGTCTGCCTGCCTGCCTGCCTGCCTGCCTGCCTGCCTGCCTGCCTGCCTGCCTGCCTGCCTATCTATCTATCTATCTATCTATCTATCTATCTATCTATCTATCTATCTATCTATCTATCTATCTATCATCAATGTATATCTTTATTTCTCTAGCTACAATATATCACCCAGAAGAAATTATTGATCTAAAGAAAATTAACTTTCAACTGGATGGCTAATTTGGCACATATTTTCCAAGTCCTTTAAAGCTTTATGTTGAAATCCAGACCCCATCTCAGGGCGAAAAATAGATATCCGCCACCCCCGGTTCAATTCTAAACAGGGGTTGGAAAAGGCCATCCATGTACTGTAACCAATTAGCAAAATGCAATGGAGATTTACTAGAGACCCAAGGCTTCTGATTCAAAAGAGAATTGGGAGGTTAAGGTTAACCCTTGCTCCCTACAGCATTCCACCAGTATTTTTCCACGAGATAAAGTTTAATAGAATGTAACCTTAAACTGCTCCCCAGACAGTCAGCCTCTGCCTGGTAAAGAAGAAATTGGCTCGTTAATGGACAGACAGGTTTCCAGTTACATTTGCCATAGTCAGGCGGTGGTATGCTGTTGGGCTGAAGAAGCAATGCAGTTGCGAAAAGTTGGCACCCCTCGAAAAGGACAAAGGTACTGCACCTTATGCAGAATACGAAAATTCAGCAAGCCTCTTGTCACGTACGCTAGTCTTGCTATAGTTTTTCTTTTGCATCCAGCAACCTAGGATTTTAATGCTCTGTCCCATCTCACCCCATCCTTCTCTTTAGTGTTTAACTGACTCCCTCACCCTCACCCCAAAACATATCCACAGAAGATGGAATAGTATTGGGACTTGGGGAAAAAAGAGAAAACCTCTGTTGGGGGTGCTAGAAACCAGAAGACCATGACTTCTGGTTTCTAGGCATGAAAGTTCTCAGTGACTTTGAGCCAGTCTCTCTCTCTCTCTCTCTCTCTCTCCCTCTCTCTCTCTCTCTCTCTCTCTCTCTCTCTCTCTCTCTCTCTCTCTCTCTCTCTCTCTCTCTCTCTCTCTCTCTCTCTCTCTCTCTCTCTCTCAGCCTATGCCACCTCACAAGGTTTCAACCAGAGAATAGAGCTGGAGGGATCTTGGAGGTCTTCTAGTCCAAGGGTCCCCAACCCCTGGTCCATGGACCGGTACTGGGCCGTGGCATGTCAGCAACCAGTCCACACAATCAAGCAAAGCCCCATCCATGGGATGCAGGCAGCACACAAAACCACACAGTCTCTGGTCCAAGGAAAAACCTTTCTCCACGAAATTGGTCCCTTTTGGGCACCTCTGTTCTAGTCCAACCCCATGCTTAAGCAGAGACCCCATACAATTTGAGACCCATGGCTGCCCAGACAAGTGGCTGTCCAAGGCTTGTTGTTGTGGAGAAAATAGCAGGAGGGAAGAGTATTAGGTATGTTTGCCACTTTGAAGTACTTATAAAGTAATAAAGTCAAGATTTAAAAATCCAGTAAATAAGACTTTTTGTGTATATATATATATATAAAGATGCTTAACCTGTCTAAATTCTCTCTTCAAGGCCACTATTCATAGTAAAAGAAATTCTCCATCTTCTATTGCTACTATTGGACCTTGATAATGGATTCATGGCTTGCATAGCTTTTTCCTGCTGGAATCGGCTTTCTCTACCATTTTAGATGCCTCTTACCCATACTGATCATTTCATTTCCTTATCTTTGATTTCCCCTCGATGACTGGCAAGTGAATATGCCAAATGACTGTGTGGCTGCGATTGAACTGTAGCCATTCTGGGTACCTGCCAGAGTTTCAAAGCTGGCAAAGAGCCCACCACCCCAACATTATTGGTATTCTAAGTTTGCACACAGAGCCATCAAGATCAGTTTTGATCTGAGTCTGGATGAAATGCTTTGCCCATGAGATTCTGGAATTCCTGGTTCATCACAAGGACTGATTCCACTGAAAGCTAGAATACCTGAACTGAAATTGAATGGTACTTGCAGCAAAACAAAACATGTCCTCTTCCAGAATAAGAAAGTGGTGGGATTCAGCAGATTTGCACCAGTTCGGCAGAACCGGTAGCTAATTTTTTGTTGCCCAGGCCCAGAATGGACTTCCAGAAGCGGCATCCACACAGAGAACCGGTTGTTCACATATTTGAATCCCACCACTGGAATAAGCCATTCAATTCTTCTCTCTCACTTTTCCTTTCCCAGCATGCTCATTTATGACTAGACCTTAGATCTTTCCTTTTAAGATTCTTTCATACTACAAAGCTGATACCTTCCTATAACATCTCCGAGTCTGCATTTTCTTACACAGCTATCACCCATCTGCATCTAAATTTGAAATTAGGGGAAAAGGGGAGACATTTGTCTGTGGAGATGGCTCTGCAAGACCAGTTTATGCAGACCAACATCAGGGTTTTGACCTCCAAATTAGGAAGAAAACCTTCTCAAGAACTGGTTCTTCCATATGAGCTCGTCTGATGAAAGCTCTAACTGTACAAGTTCTTCTTCAAGCGCTTTTCTTATTTGAAGAAAGGTCACATGAATATTGAAGATGTTGCTGAACTACAATTCCCAGCATCCTTCTTTCCATATAGATTGGAAATGGTAGCAGTTGCACTTCAGAGGGCCCAGGTTTCCCAACTTGCATGAATATTTAAAATGTTTAATAACAGCACTAAAGAGTGTATGTACGCACTTTGCTTAAATAAATTATCCTTTCTTAACATACTGTCAGAAGAATAATTTGGAGTTCTAACTAGAGCCGGGGCTGCACAAGAATAAATAAAAATGAGATCCAAACAGCTGCAAAGAAAGAATAAATATTTATTCCTAAAAGCTAAAGTTTGCTTTTAGGGGCAGGCTGCAGAGAAATGAGGTACAGCAGCAGATTTTTATAGGGGGGGAGCTTGTCCAGGATGTGGAAAGTGTCTACATGCTGATTCTAGGGTTACATTTGAGGGGAGTGGGTTGTGTGTGTGTGTGTGTAAATATGTATTCTTGTGAACATGCACTTCTGCTGGGAGATCTAAATTAACTCTATGTTTGCAGATCTTATCCTTTCGATATGTGTATTAGGTCTGGTAACTTACTTCGGGGTTGTTAATTTGATTAACTTGGAGACACTGATTCTCAGACCATTGTGGATTCTGTTAATATTTTTAAGAGAAGATAGAAACAGTATCAAGAATAAAATATATTTGGATGTAAAACTTCTCACAGTACTCTTGTTACTGCTTAAATTGAGCCTATGAATTTGGACCAAAATTGTGACCCATTGTTCATTTTTCAATTATTTATTTGCTCGGCCTCCAGCTGAAAAAAAGCCCTGCAAATTGGACAGGTGCAGCTCTTAAATTTCCTAGGCCTCTAATCACATAAGGCAGGTATGGAGATAGGCAGGAATCTTTTCCTTTCCTGAGAGAATTCTAGAAACAGTGGCCAAAGTATGCACAGAAGAAAGATAACAATGCATGATTTATCCTCTGAAATTATGATTTTTAGTCAATTGTCCTTCAGCCTTTAAAAAAAGAAATCTGCAGCAAAATTAGGAATAGCAAAAACAATGGGGAGATGTGCCCTCTCTCCTTTTCCCCTTCTCCCTCCCCTATTTCAAGCACTGAGTATGGAGGATTGTGAGTAAAATAGCAAAGAAAACAAAAGAATATAGACATGGTGACCCAGACTGAACCCTCTCAAATAAATAGAACAATAAATAAATAAAATTGGCTATCACCATTTTTACGCTTTGATCCTAGTATATTAAGCCGGTCCATGTCACCTTTTCCTTGAAAAAAAGTGAAATGAAGCTACAGGGTAATTTTGCAAATAATGTTTCCTATAATAATGTTTATAATCCTATAAGATGCCATGTTAACTTTGATGGCTGACATACAAATAATCTCTGAGATCAAATATGTACTTACTAGGAAGCCCAGTACCAGGCTGGATTTGCTTGGATATATCCTTGAACTGGTTTACTGCAATAAAAACACAAGGGATTAGAAGAATGAGAGCAAAATATGGAGCACTAAAGCCCTTGATTAAGGAATTTTAATACTGATCTAATCATCCTTCTAAGAATGCTTTTATAAATGATAAAGTACTACCCTGCTTGCCTGCCTGACTGCCTTTGTGCAGAGTTAGGAACAACAAATATTGATGCTGGTTATAGCTAACTAAACACAAAATAGAATGTTTGATTTCTGAAAATCTCAAGACAAATTCGGATTTTTGTGCTTGATTAAAAATACATCCCTTAAGGGATGCTATGATCTGGATATTTCTAAGTGGCATTCCATAATGCTTTAAACATGCACGCAAATAAAACACACTTGAGTCATGCAGTGTAAATGTATGATGGGGACAAAATATTTATGAGAATATTCCAAATGTTTAATTCCCCCATTTTACATATGTAGACTATGAGAATATGGGAGAGGAACATCAATAGGGCGAAAAAAAAATTGTTGTTGTTGTTAAGTGCGAAGGCGTGTCCGACCCGTCGCGACCTCATGGACAACATTCCTCCAGGCTTTCCTATCCTCTACCATCTTCTGGAGTCCATTTTAAAAAAGCAGGCCAGAAAAAAAAAGCAGCAGCAAAAGGTTTGTTTCTAGGCAGGGTTGCTAGGACAGAGACTTACCAGAAAGTGAAAATAGCCACAATGCTGACTGTAACAAGGAGCTGAAGTGAAAGGATGCTATAAACCTAATGTCAAAGAAACAGAATAAATATCAGCCTGGTTAATGCTCAGCAATTATTCTGAAGACTTGATAATTAAAAAGCAAGCCAGACCCTATCAACCTTGTTCTACCACCCACACTTTTGGGGGGGAAGTTCACACATTATACTGTAATCTCCTTACATGATCATGTTCTGGCCATCTCCATAAAGGCCATGTAATCAATACTGGAAGAAAGGGGTTGTTCATGTGGACAGGTGTTCACATGAAGGAGCTGTTTTATGTGTTGATGAGAAACAAGATCCATGAGTGATGGTGATGACTCCAATGAAGGAGTCCTCAGTAGAGAATAAGCTGTGAATCTATAGTAGAATGTAGTCCAGATTCATGGGAGAGAGGGGCTCTTTCTCAGGGGGCAGAGAGAGTGGCCCTTTAAATGTCTGATAGGCAGGAAGAGGGCAAAGATGAACCCCCTACTAACAGTTCACAGAGTTATAGTTACAATTTGCTTTAGTCTGACAAGATTTATGTCTGTAGGTTAACAACAATAAAGAAACTACTCAGAAATAACTCCCTGTTTTGTTCCTGGTTCTTGGGGACTGACAGAAACTTCCAGAGAGCTTACTCATTATTATGATCCGGACGGTTGCTTGTTTGTTGAAATATGTGATTGTACCTATCCTTATTTTACCCTAATTCCTTATTTCCTTCCCCTCCCCCTTTCCTTTTACCCCTCCCTTTACCATACCTGTATTGTTCCTATTTTTCCTCACCTATATAAATTTAATAAAATTTTGTTAAAAAAACAAACTTCCAGAGAGCCTCTGAGCTTACAAAGTCTTGAACCTAGGTCTAACATTCCTGAATTTAACCCAAGACACAATTCCAGGTTCAAAACGTTACGCGAATAGGAGTTTGCCAAAATTAGAATACCTTCAAGTTCCAGAAACTGGAGGAAACTGATGATCCAGATCTAAAACTAAGAGGCAGGAATTTTAGATGGCATGAGGACTGAAGTTTGAGTATAATTTTAAAAGTTGTGATTTCATTCAGAAGACAATTGGCCTTGGCATTGATTATTATTTCTGAAGCCCCTCTTCATGACTGGAATCTTTCTGGAATATGCTTTAGCCTCTGATTCTATTTCATGTTTTGTCTTTGTTCTAATACCTCTTTTTGATCTTGGGCTTCTTTCTGACTTGTATAAAATGAACTAAGCCCTGCAACCTACCATTCTTCCTTGCTATTGATTAAGCTTTGAGTTTGGTTTGGTCTTAGTTGTTTTGACATTACCTTCCTGATGAATACCCTGCGCACATTCTGGTCATCCCAGCTGAAAGTTGTGAAGGTCTCAGTTTCCCCTGAGTATCCACTTCCATAGTTAGGACTGGAATCTGAAATAGGTGGAAAATAAAGATTTTGTCTAAGCAAAGGGGTATGTCCTATAAGATGAGACTGTGCTCCTCCCTATTGAAATTTCTGGTTTGAATATTTATTTTACACAAAGTTTCAGGTTCAGTTTGAATTACATTGAATTAAACTATTACCTGATTTTTTTCTGAGCTAATCTACAAAAATATTGGAGGCAAATTATACCTCCATAAGGACTATGAAAGTATAGATGTCAATATTATAGAATGGGTAGCTCTTCTGGCTGGTTTCAGCAGCCCATATTCATTCTGGGATGTCTATCCACTACAGCTTCGATGAAAACTTCCTTTCTTCTATCAGCACCCCATTCTCTTTTCTTCTGAAATCATTTGCAGGTAATGGCAATCAACCTTCTATGCGGAAAGAGTTCCTTGCCCCTATGGAGCACAAACACCATTGGAGGAAAGTCATGCTAATTTACGGTATCAAAAATCAAGAGGAGTCTGGCCATACTTTTTCTGATGAGCACATTTTATTCACAAGGCATACACTTTTGTGAGTTGCATCTCACTTCATTCGCTGCACCAAGCCAGGCATTGTTTTCCTATGCCATTTGTCCAGTAATAGCCAGCTATGACAGAAAAGGCTTTTGGAGGTGCACAGTAGACCATTACTCTAGAGCAGTGTTTCTCAATCTTGGCAACTTGAAGATCTGTGGACTTCAACTCCCAGAATTCCACAGCCATGCTAGAATATTCACACCTGTTTCTTCTCCCAGGGCAATTGGGCTCAGAAAAGAATGAAAGTTCTCCCAGCCATTCATTGAATTAGCAAGCTGTGATGGTGCTTTCCTTCACTGTTACCTCACAGGACTGTTGGACTCCATGAGGAAGAACAACAAACAAAGCCTCCAACCCAGCTGTTCAAAGCAGTTGTGAGAAAAAATGGTGATTCCCCTATGCCTGCTTCTAACTTATTATCAACAGTATAGTACAGCATTCCCATGGTATTCAAAGATTACCCAAAAATCACTGCGATCCACTGACCCTTTGGCCCTAATTGATCGTTAGTGGTATCCATGTGATTAATTTTTTAATCTGTTCTAACCTACAATGAGTCTTTTGACTGGGGAAGCCTATAAAAGCTGCAAATAAACAAAACTAAACCTATCTTGATATACTTTATTTTAAGATGTTTGTTCCTATAAATTGGATATCATACAATACTATATTAACATGTAATAATTGTAATAAATAGGGGAGGGGAGAAAAATATACCAATTTTAGTATGAGCTGGCTGAATCTGACCTTCTTATATTCAGGTAGAAGTGCAAATGAAACTGGACTAAGGTTTCTGAATATCTCCAGTTGCTACAAGATAGATCTTCAACTCCCAAAAATGTACATGAAATGCCTACCTACAAGAAAACCATGTATAACATGAGTGGACTAGTGAAATGACGTAGAAAATGTAAGGGAAAGTACAGCGAGATTTATTTTGCACCTGAAAATATGCGTGCACATGTACGTATATGATTGATTGAATTTTTAAGAACAGCTAGTTTTCAACTGAGACAGAAACAGAACAGGATCAACGTACCTTGAAAATAATGAGGGGAAAAAAGTCACCACTGACCATCTCTCTATATAAAAAATATATTGAATAAAATACTCTGTATAAATAGAGTACTTTATAATTCTAAAGAGAAAAACATACATTTCAAAAATTAAAGTCTAAATAGGATACCTTTGGGGTTTTTTTTATTGCCATTCTATTTTAGAATTATTTTTTTTTTTAAAAAAAAAGAATCCCTGCTTTACAGCTTGGTTCTGGGCTAGGTGGGTTCTGTGCATTTGAATCCTGCACATATGAAGGTATAGGGAAAGAGAAGCAAAGAGACAGAACAAACTTTTTGAGGCTGAAGTGCATGGAAAGTTCCCATCTCCTAGATGGGCAGTTTTAAAACATGTCACAGGTGACAGTATCAGAGGTCAAAGATCTAATGAAAAAGAAAAATGTCAAAGATGAACCAGGAATGACTTTGAAAACTGCATGTTCCAGTTCTGGTGAAAGATCTGACCCCCAAACTGCAAAGCAGGATCAAAAGGCCACAAGGCTGAGGGAGTCCAGGCACATGTTGTCCTCTTGAGATCATATGAATATCTCAAGAAAGCAACAACTGCATAATTTGTTTAGGCTCCTATGATGTATGAAACTGCAAGAACTGCATGTCAAGTTCATGTGATTGGTGTCACAGAATTCACATGTTACTGTTTCAAGTATTCCATTACCATTCTATCTTTTGAAATGCTAAACAGATAGTCCTCAACTTATGACTGTGAATGAGCCTGGAATTATGGTTGTTAAGTCATGCCCAATTTTATGGCCTTTTCTGTGGCGGTCAGTAAGCAAACTCCACAATCATTAAACAAACATGGTGGTCATGGAGCAAACCCATTGCAGGAAACACTGGTTTCTGGCAAAAGACATTATAAATTATAATCACATGACTGCAGGATGCTGGAAAAGGCAGTAAATAAGGAGCAGTTGCCAACTGCCCAAAAGGGGAGGTGGGTAGCCATTGGAACTTCAAAATTAGCTTGTACATAGCTCTGGGGAGGTTTGTCATAACTTCAAATAGTTGTTAAATGACTGCTTGTAAGCCAAGGCTACCTGTAATGCTATCAGCAGTGGATGGGTGGATTGGTTTTATAGCTGTTAAACATCAATCAAAGAACCATTGTCTTGTGGAAGGGAGGCTATAAATAAAGTTTGAAGCAATAACCCTCTTTTATCACTATCCTTGGCAATTGGCATTTGATAGGGATTCCATCTCACTACATTGGGTGAAGTGATCTACAGTTCATTGAAATGTATGTCTTTTTATGCAATTTGTTAATTTGAAAAGGTGCTACCACAACTTTCTCCACAATTCTGTGTTAAGAAGAAAGAAATATTCTGAGGAATTAGGCAAAGGGGTTGGCAAAACCACTGATTAACTTTCCATATTGGGGCTTAATATTGGGGAACTCAGGTTTGGGAACCACGTCTCAATATAATTGTAGAGATGATTGTGTTGCCAGTCCAAGGTGATGCACACGAGGCCAAAAACCAATACCTCAGAGATTAAAACCACCATCACCACAACCACCACCAAGAATTTCCAATATTTTTAAGACAAACATTTATCATAATATAATCTATCATGGATCATAGCCTCTGCCATAATGAATCTATTATTTTGTAAGGTGAAATACAACTCCCCGCTGTTCTTGCTGCCACAGGCCAACACAGTTACCACTGTAGAAAATGCACTGTAGATGTATTACAATACTCTTTTTTTATTTTCATTCACTCACTTTCCCACAGTACCTTCAGGCAAAGGCTTAGTATGTTTGATTGCTCACACTTGGGTCCTAATTTTATTGAGCTGTTTGCTATCTGATCTCCAGGAATCTTTTTTTGTTTAAATCTCTCCTTTCAAATATATCTCATAAGTGACATTTCAGTGATTATAATGGGAAATCCTTTCTCCATGGAGAGGAGCCCCATGGAAGACAGACAAGCAAGCAACATGATATAATAGTGTAGGGCAGGGGTGTCAAACTCACAACGTCACGTGATGTGTCACAACATATCGTGACTTTTTTTCCATTGCCGGCAATGGGGTGGGCACGGCTTCGCCATGACACATCCAGCCCACGGGCCAGCAGTTTGACATCCTGGTGTAGGGTATAGAAATAAACTGTAGCACAGGTAATCCTTGATTTATGACCGTTCCTTTAACAACCATTCAAAGGTAATGTGGCCTCAGAAAAAGTGACTTACAACTTATCCCCAAAGTTACAACCATCACACACAGACACACACTCACTCATACCTATAGTCATAGGATCACAATTTAGGTGTTTGACAACCAGCTCTTATTTTCTACAGTTGCAGCATCTTACAATTATGTGAATGGGATGCAGGACCTTCCCAGCCAGCTTCCAGCAAGTCTATTCAGTTGGGCAAGCTGAATTTGCTTAATGAGCACCTGGCTCACTAAACAATTGGGTGATTTGCTTAACAACCTTGGTAAAAAAAATAGTAATAAAATCAGGTCTGGTCACATGATAATGGTTCGCTCTGTGACTAGACCAACTAATGATAGAAACTCTGGTCCAAATTGTGGTTATAAGTCCTTACCTAGTATATACCTCCAGAAAACTGCAAAAAACATATTTCAAACCAATAGGCAGCATTTTGCTAGCAACAGGATAAAATGAAATGGTGAAGACTATATTTTTTTTATACAGATCGGACTTTATTTTTCAGCTGTGGGTCAAAGGCTTTCATTCTTGAATATTAAGCAAGCTCATGAATATAATTAATCCTTGTGCAAATGGATTCCCTTGGCCTTATCTAATTGTCTGAGATTAACCTACTTGACATCACTTATGATGAAAACTCTGTCCCTCCAGAGACAGATGTGTCTCGGCTGCACAGCCTGCTTTTTTTAAAAAAACAGTTGGTATCTTGCTTAAGCTAACAACTGACTAAGAAAAACATTATCCAAGCTTCTGAGTTAAATAACAGTCTGAATTCTTTGATAAACAATCAGACTGCTACTACACATACCATATCCAATTAAGAAGAAAGCTAGGTATTTCTTTGTTTAAAATATGTATATCCAAATTTAGGTATAGAAAGAGATTGATCTTGAAATAATAATGCTAATCTAAACTAAATTACACCTGCAAAACATCAGCCCCCATTAAGATGCTGGATATTGATGAACAATCTCCTTTTCTCTCTACTTATTAAGAAACCGGTCTTGGGTGGAAGAGTCCAAAAAGAGGGAGCTTTCAAATAAAGGGTCATCCTGTAGGATGCACAGACACCCAATTTAAAATGATGATCGATTCAATTAATAATAGAAGTCTACAAACACTCTATAATACAATACGGCATGATGGCTCCTACAGAGTTTAAACAGATGCAGTTTTAAAATACTTTATCCCCATTAGTTCAAAGTGGTTAT